GCTAAAATGATACTTTTAGAAAGATCTTTACATACCGCTAATGTCAGAGACGGTCACACACTTACTGCAGGCCACACTAGTTTCTTTCTCAACGTCATCGACCGTTTTTCGAACACATTCTTTTTTTAGAACGCCACTTTGGTAACCACAGCAACGCCACTGCGCCGCAATATTTAATCACCTTAAAGGTACAGTGCGCAATTTCCGTGAAGCACTGTAGAATAAAGAAGTTGGGTCCTTGTAATCTTTTGAGTATATAGATAATAGCAACTTTGATTCTCAGTTTGACTAACTTTTGTATGTTTAAATGCTATTTTGCATGCATACGTCTTATTATTCAGGCAAAGTAAATTAATATGTATCTAACCTGTATGCATACCTATCAACCCTCCCGTTTTTCCCGGGATTCTCCTGTATTATACAGTTCTATCCCGCTATCATCCAGTAAAGGTATTTTCCCGTATTTCGTCCGTATTTTCAGTCTTTCTCTGAACAGCCGAGTCTCCCTATACGCAACCCGTACCGCCGAACCACTAGGGGTCGCCCCTTGGTCTCAAACGTGAGTCTGTTCTGTGCTTTCGCTTTGTTTAGGAATGAAAACACTTATGAATAAATATTAAAAACGGCGCGATTCCCTTTCCTTTTGATCACAGGTCCCGTCGCCCATCCTATACAATCCTCAAAACAGTCATATAATGGTGCATGACTGTCAGCTGACATGCTCCATTAGTGATAAACAGACGCTGTTTTCCAAACGGATTCTGTACACGCGGTTTGAAGCGTAGAGAAAGTCTGGCTTTTGGGTGCGTGTTTAAACAGACACACATAATTAATAATAATAACATATAAAGATGTCGATCTTGGTGGGTTTTTTTCCCAAACACAACAAATTTTGTCTTAAATGAGCATAAAAAGTTAGGAAAGCAGTCAAATGCTTTCATTATAACGTTAGATGTGTGCGTTTTAAAGTAACACCTCTTATTTAATGTAATAAAAAATCTTAATAAATGAGAGATCCATTCGTTGCTCTTTAATCAGAATGTGTCAGTTATACAGTGAAGAGACGGCTAATGAGATTGATAGCTTGATTCTGTTTCATTATAGCTATTAATTTTAATAAGCTGAACTGTTTGCTAATGTATTTGCTGCTAATGTATTTTTTTTTTTTTTTTTGTTGATAATCATTTTAAAACATTTTACTGACCATTTAGCTGTTTATTTACAATGAAACAACTCCAAATGAACAGGGGGGAATCCCTTATGATGGTGGGCATATCCCTTATTTTCACATCCCAATGTTGACAGGTATGCCTGTATGTATGATCTCTAAAAATTAAATATAGTTCGGTTTAAGCCACTAGAGCAATGTAGTCACAACTTTATGTCACAAAAAATAAGTTAAATCATAATACAGGGTGGGCCATTTTTATGGAAACACCTTAATATAATGGGAATTGTTGGTGATATTTGTGGCACATTAGTGTGAGGGGTCTTGTAAATAACTCATGAAAGATTAAAGTTACGTTGAAACCAAGCGCACCATTGTTTTGTTTTTTTTCTCATGAAATTCCGAATAAGTTTTATTAAGGTGTATTCATAATATATTGGCCCACCCTAGACGCCTCGTGATCCACTTCGGTCTGTTGCTCCGATACGTCAACGCGGTCGCCATCTAATATCCGGTCATCAGAACAGAGAAGCTGCTGTTTTCTCGGATATAAAATACCAATACGCTTATAGGCTACTTATGAACTGATTATAATTTGTTGGTGTAAAAAAGCTCCAGTGAGCTAAAAGTAAGAAAGTTCAAACTTGTAATATTTATTTTATGGTATAAAGAGAGATGTATTGTCAATAAATGTATATCTGCTTTATCGAAAATAATGCCCTCTTTTTTAATAAGTCCTAAATAAAGTCCTCTTTTTTTTCTTTCTTTTTTTTTTACAGTTTTATAAAAGTTAACAAAAACGGTTAATACAAAGTAATGAATAACACATTATTATAACAGTACAAATTCTATACAGTAATGTAGAATAAAATTCTGCATTATATCTGTAATAATAAATTAATAATAACAAATAGATTGCGAAATAGTATGTGCGTGATATGTATAATCATAACTAAGTGTGTGCATAGGTGTTAACATAATCACACTCACACACACATGCAGGCACACACACAATATATATATATATTAGTATAAAACACATATTTATGTGTTTTAAAGATATGCAAGTATATGTATGCTGTATTGTATGTTATGCTGTATTGTATGTTATGTTATGTTCAGCTAAGAACCTTGGTCCAGACAATAAAGTAAATTAAATGATCATAATAATAGTGTAATGACAACAAATAAAAAATTGGAGACAGCAGAATGAAAGCAGAATATAGACAATAACAAAAATTATTAAATTTGTGTAGTGAGTAAAAATATAATAAGATAACTACAATATGCTGGTAGCAAGCTGTATAATACCAGCTAGCCCCCTCACTTTTACAGGAATTTACACAAATCTGTAATTTTCCATTTTCCAGTACTGACGCTTAGCAAACAAGGTTTCTTGAAGTGTCTAGATGTTCTTTAGTTCCCTTGAATTATCTGATCTCTGTGTGGAGAATCGGCTGCTGTCAAATTCCTTTTGCAAACAAAAATCACACTGCATTTTTACAATTATTACCAAAGTGAAATGTAAACTGATATTTCCTAATGACATACAGTGCATCCGGAAAGTATTCATAGCGCTTCACTTTTTTCACGTTTTTTTAATGTTACAGTCTTATTACAAAAAGGATTAAATTCATTTAGTTCCTCAACATTCTCCAAACAATACCCCATAGTGAAAAAAATATATATTTTTTTAAATTGTGGCACATTTATTAAAAATAAAAAACCTGAAAATCACATGTACATCAGTGTTCACAGCCTTTGCTCAATACTTTGTTGATGCACCTTTTGGTAGCAATTACAGCTTCAAGTCTTTTTAAATATGATGCCACAAGCTTGGCACACCTGTCTTTGGGAATTTTTGCCCATTCCTCTTTGCAGTACCTCTCAAGCTCCATCAGGTTGGATGGGAAGTGACGGTGTACAGCCAATTATAGATCTCTTTGGAGATGTTCTATAGGATTTAGGTCTGGGCTCTGGCTGGGCCACTCAAGGTCATTCACCGAGTTGTTGTGAAGTCACTCCATTGATATTTTGGCAGTGTGCTTTGGGTCATTGTCCTGCTCGAAGATAAACTGTGGCTTCAGTCTGAGGTCAAGAGCAAAGGCTGTGAATACTTATGTAGGTTACATGTGATTTTTTAGCTTTTTTATCTTTTATTAATTTGGAAGAATTTCAAAAATATTTTTTTTTCACATTGTCATTATGGGGTGTTGTGTGCAGAATTTTGATTAAATAAATGAATTTAATCTATTTTGGAAAATAGCTTTAACAAAAAAACATGTGGAAAAAATTAAGCGCTATGAATACTTTCCGGATGCACTTTACTACAATATAGAAACAACATACAATAATTGTAGATGGTGAAAATACTAGTGTTTTGATATTTTGGGCTCTACTCCCACATGAAACAATAGTAATTTACAGCAAATATTCTGGTATTTTTGAACCTATAATGAATTGAATTAAACTGTTGTAATCTTAGTTGCTATGCTAACACAACATCCATTTCTACAACTAGGATATATTATTAGGGTGGCCAAGAGAGCTTAACGTGGTGCAGTTGAAGAAAACATGCAATTATAAAAACACCAACAAATTGAGAAAAGATCTTCATCAGTTTGACAGCACACATGGTGCAAGTCTTCACAATGCAAACAAGCATATTTAAAAAAAAGTGCTGCATTTCCTCACAACACACAAAGAATGGAACACAATGGAAATGTTTAAAGGGGACCCAAAAACGTGACGAATGCCGCTGTGCCGTGACTTTTGCTCAGTGAAGTTGTAGGTTATCTTTGAAAGATGAGTGTTTGTTTATTTTAACATCCCGATTCCAGTGTCTTTAGTATAAGTCTAAATAACCACAACCTATATAGCTGGGTCGGTCACATTTAGGGTGCCCTTGAAACCTTTCCTTTGCGTTGTGAGAAAATATTAGTGTTACACACACTAATCACATATTAGATAAAGTTATAAATGAGAAAATCCCTCTCACTGTTTTTATTTATTTGGAGAGCTTCTATGGGGTATGCACAAAGATTTGTAATTTCAGTCAGCCAGCCCAAGGGCTACTGGTTAACTGTCATCCCATACAAAATTACAGTGTAAAATAACAGATTTCTTAAAAAAAAAAAAAAAAAAAAAAAAAAAAACAGCAATCTTTACTGCCTGGCTGAGATACAATAAAGCAAGAAGCATTGCGCTAAGTTCTATTTTCCCAGGGCCATGTCTTTGAAATATGGAAATTAATTTTGCCCTCGTATTTTCAATGGAGTTTCTGCACTAGACTACTGCTAATGACAGCGCCTGCATCATTAAAAACAAAAAGGATGCTTAAGTCTATTTAACTGATTATATTTGAAATACATTACAACATCGATCCTGTAAAAGAAACCTTATGAAATTGAAAATAGCTACATTAAGTTTTCAACAAAGTTCATCATTGGTTAAAAAACACTAACTTAGTTGTGCAAATAGCCTGCTAAAATATATAATAAGAAAGTTGACGTTATACTTTTTTAAAAAATAATTTTTGCCCATATCTACAGACCATTTCAAGAACGTAAACAATAATAAACGCGTTGCCATGACACTGCGTGGTCTGGTCTTAAAGCATTTCCGGTAGCGCCATTTTTTCCACAAACCTGTCAAAACTAGCGCATCTTTTTACGATTGTTAACAACAAAGTGTTAAAATTACTAAATTACAGTGGGTAAAAAATCATTCTTACCTGTGAAATATAATTTCACTCTGCGACAAACTAAACAGCTCCAATAAGCAACCAATTTATGTTACTTAATCTCAGTTAAAGTGAAGCACGACTGGGTGACTGGATTAAGATGGCGGCGGTATTGACGTATCATCCAGTGGTGTCCGCTTGCTGTTTCTGGTTTCACACGTTTGCAGCTGTTACCATAGATACCGGAGTTGTTTCCGTAAAGCCTCCATACGGTTTATGTTTAGGCTGATACCAAAATGTTGGATTTGACAGTAAATTTGAGCTCTCTCGGGTTTGAGTCTGGACTCAGTGAAGATGAAAAAGAGTTGCTTTTTCTGCGCAGTCGTTCTGTTGGCTTGACTATAAGTGGGTGTGCGCATGCTGTATTTGTCTGTGAACTTTTCAGTTTGTTAAGGTAACGTTAAAAACACACACGCACACAGTGTTTGGCACATTACATCAAAAAAGGTCACAAAAGACATCATTAAAAAATTAAAAAAAATTACTTTGATTTAATTACCATGCCTGTAAAGTAAAAAGTAATTTAGTTACTCAGTAATGAATTTAATTATTTATTACTACTTAAATTCCCTTTAAAATTTGATTCATACATATCATTTTAGCTTTATTAAAGTCATATTTAAGCATCTTAATAACAATCCTAACATTCTTTAGTTAACAGAATTAATGTTACTTTGTGAAAAAGAAGTTTCAAGCACCATATTACATAGAAACTGTATTTTATCATTTCTGACTCAATCGCAAACATCTTGACGAATGTAACCTTCTTTCCTCTGCAAATTTTCAACAACAAGAAATACAAATGCAACAATACTTGCACAGAATTTTTTTTGTCACATGATTTCTAAAAACTCTTACTTAAAATGCAAAATTACACAGCAAATCTTCAAACAAGAATTTATTTCTCAGCCTAGAACTATTTCTCAAAACACTATGCTCAATGCTCCACCTTAAACACAAACATCTAACAGGAATTGTAGTTTAATTATTATTTTATTATTATTATGGTGGCACGGTGGCTCTGTGGTTAGCACTGTCACCCCACAGCAAGAATGTCAAAGGTTCGAGGCACGGCTTGGTCAAATGGCATTCTGTGTGGAGTTTGCATGTTCTCCCTGTGTTGCCGTGGGATTCCTCTGGGTGCTCCAGTTTCCCCCACAGTACAAAGACATGCACTATTCAGTAGGTGAATTAAATAAAATAAATTATACAGCTGGAAGGGCTTCCGCTGCGTAAAACATGCTGGATAAGTTGGCTGTTCATTGGAGAGGGTGCTCGCTGCAGAGCCATTTGAGGAGAGCTGAGCTCCAGCGAGGGGGAGCATGAGCTGTCGCTCCTCCTCCTGTAAGCTGTTTTAATGCGTACACCAACTCCACCCCTAACCCTACCCCCAGTGACATCACTCGTAGAAGAAGTGCAAAAAAGGTGGAGCTCAAGCTTAAGCTCCCCCTCGCTGGAGCTCAGCTCTCCTCAAATGGCTCTGCAGCGAGCACCACTTGGTTCATTCTGCTGTGGGGACCCCAAATTAATAAGGGACCAAGCCGAAGGAAAATGAATTATTATTATTATATTTATATTTAGTCATGTATATTTTTTTCACACAGAAAGAAACTGAATGCTGAGAATGGATGCGTCAATAAAGCACATCTGTCTGTTGGTATTTTGGGTGGAGGAAACATGGGCAAGCAGCTGGCAATGGCTTTAATTCGTACTTCAAACCTCAGGTCATGTGACATTAACTTGTCAACAAAAAGACCCGAGACCTTAGGTTAGTATGTGTGTGTTTGTGTGTGTGTGTGTGTGTGTGTGTGTGTGTGTGTGTGCTTGTTTATGTAGTTTGTAAGGACCGCATTAGTCATTTAAACTATCATTTGCATAATGGCATGGGTATGACCTAGTTGTATTCTATTAAAGAGGTATACGAGGACATGCCTTGTGTCAACAGAATTCAAAATGTTTAAAAATGATACTCAACAGGGTCTTTTGACACTCAAATTTTACCACAGGTTTTCTGTGAGGGTTGGGTTTACGAGTACTAGGATAAGGTCATTTAATAAGCGATTTTTACAGTATAAAATGCATTATGCCCTTGGGGAGTCCTTGTAAACCATATTTTCAAGTATGTGTGTTCGTGTGTTAGTAAATATAATCTTCATAGGGAGCTTTTAATAATTTAAAGCGCACAAATATCTTTTGTATGGATGGCATCATCTTAATTCAGAGTGTTTATAGTAACTGGCTGCCTAAAATATACTGTATATAGTTCTTACAGTCCTAAAATCCCTGTGTGCAGCTGAAGTGATTTGTGAATGTGTGGATTCTTTGAGGACCATCTAAGCTGCATGATGTTGCTATAGAAACGCATGTAAAAGGTCCAAGTACCTGCAAGCCACTAGTGCTCTCTTGTCATGTCAAGAGCTTGAGTGCTTCACGCATCATAATAATCCACCCAGATCTGTTATCTGTGGCAAGAAATTGTAACATCAACTAGGCTTAATCCCAGTTCTGTTATACTGTAAACACCCCTTCAACCTCCCCTACTGAATCAGTGCGGCAGAAGGTGAAATATTGTAAGAAAATACATCATTTAGTTGCTTTTTAAAGAAGTAAAGCACGACTGTAATGTTATATTATTTATAAAAGTAACTATTTATTTTTTATTTTTTATTTTTATTTGAGTTCTAGTACTTATTCATTAGATAGGAGCGACGCTGTGGCGCAGTGGGTAGCGCTGTCGCCTCACAGCAAGAAGGTCGCTGGTTCGAGTCTCGGCTGGGTCAGTTGGCATTTCTGTGTGGAGTTTGCATGTTCTCCCTGTGTTCTCGTGGGTTTCCTCCGGGTGTTTCCCCCATAAGTCTAAAAACATGTGGTTCAGGTGAATTGGGTATGCTAAAATTGACTATAGTGTGTGTGTGTGTTAATAAGTGTGTATGAATGTTTCCTATTGATGGGTTGCAGCTGGAAGAGCATCCGCTGCGTGAAACATATGCTGGATAAGTTAGTGGTTCATTCCACTGTGGCGACCCCAGATTAATAAAGGCACTAAGCTGAAAAGAAAATGAATGAATGAATGGATGAATTCATTGGATAGCTACTAGTACTTATACTTTAGGTACCACAAAAATGTTTATTTTTTAAACCTATTAAATAGATCATTCATTGATTTTCTTTTCAGCTTAGTCCCTTTTTTAATTAGGGAAATGAACCACAATGGAATGAACCGCCAACTTATCCAGCATATGTTTTACACAGCGGATGCCCTTCCAGGTGCAGCCCAGTACTGGGAAACACCCATAGACTCTCATTCACACTCATACTACGGGCAATTAAGCTTATTTAATTCACCTGTACCGCATGTTTTTGGACTTGTGGGGGAAACCGGAGCACCTGGAGGAAACCCACGCCAACACAGGGAGAACATGCACACTCCACACAGAAATGCCAACTGACCCAGCCGAGGCTTGAACCAGCGACATTCTTGCTGTAAGGCGATCGTACTAATAACTGTGCCAACAAGACACCCCTATTAAATAGATACTAGTTGTTATTCATTAGATTGTAGAGCTTTTTTATTTCGAAATGCATACAATCTAATTAAATGGTAGAGGTGTCTGTATAATAGATACACTAAAAGGTATCTGATGAATAAACAAATATCTTTTTAAAAGGTTGTAGTCAATGAGTATCTAAATTTGAATCATTAATAAATCATCAAATACTAGAATGGAATAGAAATACAAACTAGTCATACTATATGTACTAGTAGCAAAATATACAGTTGAAGTCAGAATTATTAGCACCCCTGTTTATATTTTCCCCCAATTTTTGTTTAACAGAGAGAAGGTTTTTTTCAATACATTTATAAACATAGTAGTTTTAATAACTCATTTGTAATAACAGATTTATTTTATTTTTGTCATGATGTCAGTAAATAATATTTGACTAAATATTTTTTTCAGGACACTTCTATACAGCTTAAAGTGACATTTAAAGGCTTAACTAGGTTAATCAGGTTAACCAGGGAGGTTTGGGTAATTAGGCAAGTTATTGTATAATGATGGTTTGTTCTGTAGACTATTGAAAAGCAAATATAGCTGAAAGAGGCTAATAATTTTGTCCTTGAAATGTTTTTTGAAAAATAAAAATCTGCTTTTATTCTTGCTGAAATAAAACAGATAAGATTTTCTCTAGAAGAAAAAATATTATCAGACATACTGTGAAAATGTCCTTGCTCTGCTAAACATTGTTTAGAAAATATTTTTAAAAAGAAAACAAATTCAAAAGGGGGCTAATAATCCTGACTTCAACTGTATGTTTAGGCTTTGTATATTCAATGTTAAAATGGATTTTTAAAGGTAAAACTGAGATTTTTACATTGTAGGACTTATGAAGTGTGTCCTAATTGACAAATCAGGGTGTTCAATTCTCTCTTTCTTTCATTGACCTGTAGGTGAAATTTCAAACATGGGTGTGGAGTGTTACTTTGACAACATTCGACTGGCTAAATGGGCAGATCTGCTCTTCCTTTGTGTCTTGCCCTCTCATCTTCCTCAGGTTTGCTCAGACATTCACTGCCATTTGCCTTCAAACTGTCTTGTGTACAGTTTCACGTCAGCAGTGCCGCTCAACAGGTAATTAAGATCATCTCTAATTCTCAGTGGTGTACAGTAACAAGTTGCAAATAGTATGATTACTGTAACTAAGTAGCTTTTTCTCAGGATATGTACTTTACTAAGTAGTTTTTTTTTAAAAGCGTACTTTGAGTACATTTTTAGTGCTGTATCTGTACTTTTACTACACTAATTTCCTTCAACCAGTACAAAAAATCTGTTCATTAACAGTTTCCGTATTTCGTGATTCACAAGTGTTTTCTATTTATTTACGGTTTTGAATTGCATTATGGTCTCTTCTCTGTCAACTTTTGATATTGAAAATTCAACTCTACAGATGTGACTTTTATTGACACGGTGGTATTGTGGGTAGCACAATCGCCTCACAGCAAGAAGGTCACTTGTTCGAACCTTGGCTGGGTCAGTTGGCATTTCTGTGTGGAGTTTGCATGTACTACCCGTGTTCGTGTGGGTTTCCTCTTGGTGCTTCGGTTTCCACCACAGTCCAAAGAAATGCTGTATAGGTGAATCGAATAAGCTAAATTGGCCTTAGTATATGTATGTGAATGCAAGAGGGTATGGGTGTTTTCCAGTGTTGGGTTGTGGCTTGAAGGGCATCCACTGTATAAGTTAATTTACTTAATGGATAAGTTGGTGGTTGATTCCGCTGTGGCAACTTCTGATTAATAAAGGGACGAAGCTGAAAAGAAAATGAATGAATGAAAAAGTTTGTAAAATAACAGAAAATATACTGACAGTTTATTGCAATATTTTTGTACCATATTATATAACACCAACCCGGACAATATACCACTTTAAACTATTAAAAATGTTAATAAAGGTCACCTTTTCCAACTTTTCAAAGTTAAAAGTCATAGAAGGAAAGATCAAGGTCCCATAATGCAATTTGAAAGTATAAATAAAGAGGGGAAAATAAAGAATAAAAACACAAAATACAGAAAACTGCTCAATTATGGATATGTTTTATGCTTTACAATCACTACTTTAGTATGTTTTATTTTTCTTGTCTATAGTAATTGGCTAAGTACAATATTAATGGTTGGAATCATTTTAACAGGGAAATAGTTCTACTCATAAATTTACATTACATACACAAATACATGTACTATACTTTCACTCTATTTTTATCCTAATAATGGTACTTTTACTCTAATTTGATTTTTTTCTTATATTCTTCTCACCACTGCACGTTCTTCAAGTCATTAGAAATTTGAATACCAACTTTTATTTGAAATAGAATAAATTTGGCCTGGTAAATGTTTGTTATATTCATTCATTCATTCATTTTCTTGTCGGCTTAGTCCCTTTATTAATCCGGGGTCGCCACAGCTGAATGAACCGCCAACTTATCCAGCAAGTTTTTACGCAGCGGATGCCCTTCCAGCCGCAACCCATCTCTGGGAAACATCCACACACACACGCACGCACACTCATACACTATGGACAATTTAGCCTCCCCAATTCACCTGTACCGCATGTCTTTGGACTGTGGGGGAAACCGGAGCACCCAGAGGAAACCCACGCGAAGGCAGGGAGAACATGCAAACTCCACACAGAAACGCCAACTGAGCCGAGGTTCGAACCAGCGACCCAGTGACCTTCTTGCTGTGAGGCGACAGCACTACCTACTGCGCCACTGCCTCGCCTATGTGTTAAATTAATTTCCCATATTTTCTTTAAAAACTCTTAAAATGTCTTAAGTCTCACAATCCAAATTTTAGGCCTTAAATTTACTGAAATATTGTGTTGTAGGTCATTATTCCATTTAACAGATCTTAATTTGTCTTTAATTATGTATTACTGCTCAATCTGGCCAAAACATATAGAGTCACCAACAATCCATCTCAATAAAACTTTAAACTTTTTATTTAAAAAGGTAATTTTAACTCTATTTTTCATATTGGTTTAATTATTTTCCTTACAGTATTATTTATTTAAATGTTCTCCACGTATTTACTGCCGAAGACACCAACCTGGACAGATAGTTGTGCATATATTTAGTTTGTTATAGTTTTAAAAACTTTTTTTTTATTTTAACGAAAGTTTCTGTTGGGAAAATAGTGTATGGATAAAAGTAGAGCTTTCTTGTTTTTACACAATATTTAAAATATTTTGCTAAGAATTAAATCTAAAATATTATTAAATGTATTAAATCATAGATTTTTTGATAGGGCAAAATAATCCTTTTCATCTGGGCCATTTGAAAAATTCCTTAGCCTTGAGCCCAGTATAAGTCTAAAATTTCATTCATAATGGTCTTAAAAATGTTTTAAAAAGTTTAAAATTTAACTCTGTGAAACCTGCCTAAACCCTGAGTACAACATGAATAAAAGTATATTACTGTGAGTAGTAGTGGTGGAAGTGTATCTTTACTGTGAATATTTGAATTAATATTTACAGTAGAAACACACTACCACCACTACTACTCATTGTAATATGTTGGTGCTAGTGCATCTCTACTGTACCTTACATATTATCACAATAAAAACGTTTTGTTTGTTTTTACTTTAGGCTGTTGATGCTCCTTGACCACAATTTTATTATCAAACCCCAGTATAAGTTTGTGGATTACGATGATGTGACTTCAGTTTGGCTTCTCCACAATCAAGTATGCACAGCTTTAAAAGATAAGCTAGTGCATTCAGCCACGGTTCCTCTTTCAATGAAAGGTATGTGAAAACTGCACATTTTTATTTACCCTACAAAAATGACCACGTTCTGTGGACCCCCTGAAGTGAAACGTGCAAAAATGTTCATTTATTAAATTATTTTTAAGTTATTAAACTTTATTTAATTCATTATTATTATTATTATTATTATTATTATTATTATTATTATTATTATTATTATTATTATTATTATTATTATCATTATTATTATTATCATTATTATTATTATTATGTTTTGCACATGTAGCAAATATGGAGCCCATAAAGTGACATGAAAAAAACCCTTTGTGTTGTGCGCATGCAATACAGTTAAGGTCAGAATTATTAGCCCCTTTGAATTATTTCAACACATTTCTAAACATAATAGTTTTATTAACTCATTTCTAATAACTAATTTATTTTATCGTTGCCATGATAAATAATAATAATACTTACTAATAATTCTGACTTCAACTGTACGTCTATGTCATGCGCGCTCAATACTATGTTGTGTGTACACAATAGGTATGTTGTGCACACGCGATACTATGTCATACGCACTGCGACTGCGCACTCACAGCAAGAAGGTCGCTGGTTCGAGCCCTGGCTGGGTCAGTTGGTATTTCTGTGTTTGCATGTTCCCCTCATGTTCGTGTATGTTTCCTCCGAGTGCTCCGGTTTCCACCACAGTCCAAAGACATGCACTGTCGGTGAATTGAATAAACTAAATTGGCCTTTAGTGTATGTGTATGCATTCCCTCTTGCATTCACACACATACACTAAGGCCAATGTAGCTTATTCAATTAACCTATACCGCATGTCTTGGGTATAGCAAGTCACTACTTGACAGTTTTGAGATTTGGCAAAAAAAATGTGAAAACATAGCAGTTTTTACAAGAACTGCACAGAAAACAAAGAAATATTTAAGCGTTTACTGCCTTTTAAATGAAGAAATTTAAATTTTTGATCATATTAAATGAGCAACGCAGTAGTGCAGTAGGTAGTGCTGTCGTCTCACAGCAAGAAGTTTGCTGGTTTGAGCCTCGGCTGGGTCAGTTGGTGTTTCTGTGTGGAGTTTGCATGTTCTCCCTGCGTTCGTGTGGGGATCCTCCGGGTGCTCCGGTTTCCCCCACAGTCTAAAGACATGCGGTACAGGTGAATTGGGTAAGCTAAATTGGCCGTAGTGTATGAGTGTGTTTGTGAATGAGTGTGTGTGGATGTTTCCCAGAGATGGGTTGCGGCTGGTAGGCCACCCGCTGCGTAAAAACGTGCTAGATAAGTTGGCAGTTCATTCCACAGTGGCGACCCTGGATTAATAAAGGGACTAAGCCGAAAATAAAATGAATGATTGAATAAATGATATTAAATGTTTACTTTAGTCATGTGTGATAGTGAAAATGCAACATCAAATCAACAACCAATAAACAGACAATTCCGGTCCTTGATTCTGATTGGTTGACAAGGTTGCAAAATACACTATAACACACATGTGAGTTGCATGGCAGCCATTCCATTCCATCAGTTCTGAGTCAAATAAATAATTTAATTTGCTTTGCTTCCTTTTGTGAATAACCGCTATTTAAAAACAGAGCAAAACCATGGTTTACTGTGATTTTACAACAGCTAAGGCGCTCAATGCTTTATTTTAGGTGTACCAATATTCTTTTGGTAACTTCACAGTTTTTTCACATCAAAATAAATCTTTTATGAGTGTTCAGAATGTATCCACATTCGTCTGTCATGTGAAGTGAGTATAGTGTAGTGTTTTATATGGTGTGCTATTAAGTAAACTGGCAGTGTTTACTGAAGGTGGGCTCTTCCTGGATCGACGATGGACGTCTGCTGTGCTCTACGCTCTCCTCAACATGTGCACAGCAGAAAAGCTGGACTCCGGAAACACTCTTCAGCTGCTAAATGGACTGTTTGAGACTGGTGTTTCAACAGAGACGTTCACTTATCACAGTTTTGTCAATTCACCCAATGCCACCTCTGATGTCCATAAACCAGACGAGTGAGTTCGAGGCAGTTTTGCATACTAGTTTTTTCATATTCAAAATGATGTGTACGAAAATTGAATGATGACTATTTAATAATTATGCCTCTGTTGTTTTACAGACTTTTTCCATGGATCAGTTTGGTCAATGCACAAACTAAAGACACTCCACTGACTGACCTGCTGTCAAGGAATTCAGGTTTGCGAGACTGTATTTCATGCATGTACTACAATGTTTTTGCAAACTTAGCTGAAGGATAGTATTTTTGTTGTTGGTGATTAGATCTGATACACACGACTATTGAATTGTGTAATGTACATTGTGTGCACTCATGTTAAGTCTGTTTATCGTCAGTCATATGTGAAGGTGTTTGTGATGTGCAGTCTATTATAAGTGCTAATTAAACTCTGGGGGAAAATGGCTTGCCGGTTGTGTCCCTTTATGTTCCTTTGTACTATATTTGTGTTTTATCCCCTGCAGATTTGTTGGCATGCATGGCCAAGCGATTTTTTACAGGATTTAACAAGAACTAGGAAATTTGTGATGTTATCGTATTCTGTATATAACATACTATATACTTTATGAAAAACTAGTGCTGCCAAATGATTAATCGCATACAAAAGAAAATATATTTGTGCATACTTTGTATATAAATATATTTATGACTATATTGTACTATATATATATATATATATAGTATATATATATATATATATATATATATATATATATATATATATGTATATATATATATATATATATATATATATATATATGTGTATATATATATGTGTATATATATATATTTATATATATATATATATATATATATATATATATATATATATATGAAATACAAATTAGATATAAATATATGTATGTAAATCTATTATTTTGTATATTTGTGTATGTTATGTACAGTGCATGTGTATTTATACATATAAATATACACTTTACACATTAACAGTTGAAGTCAGAATTATTAGCCCCCCTTTTAATTATTTTTTTCTTTTTTAAATATTTCCAAAATGATGTTTAACAAAGCAAGGAAATTTTTACAATGTGTCTGATAATATTTTTTCTTCTGGAAAAAGTATTATTTGTTTTATTTCGACTAGAATAAAAGCAATTAATAATTTTTTTAAACATTTTAAGGTAAAGTTATTAGCCCCTTTAAGCTACATTTTTTTGATAGTCTACAGAACAAACCACCATTATACAATAACTTGCCTAATTGCTCTAGCGCAGGGTAGGGCAAACTCGGTCCTGGAGGGCCGGCTAAACTGTGCAGGACACCGGCCCTCCAGGACCAAGTTTGCCCACCCCTGATCTAACCTGCCTAGTTAACCTCATTGACCTAGTTAAGCCTTTATAAATGTCGCTTTAGGCTGTAAAGAAGTGTCTTGAAAAATATTTAGCAAAATATTATTTAATGTCATCATGGCAAAGATAAAATAAATCAGTTATTAGAAATGAGTTATTAAAACTCTATATCTATGTTATATATATTCTTATATATGTTTAGAAATGTGTTGAAGAAATCTTCTCTTCGCTAAACAGAAACTGGGGAAAAAAATAAACAGGGGGGCTAATATTTCTGACTTCAACTGTATATATAATGTAAATGAAAAGTTTTGTCTTAGATGCACTTAATCACGATTAATCATTTGAAAGGACTAGAAACTTTTCAAGGAGAGAACTTGCGTATATAAAGTTGTGGTTATATTTAATAAATTGTTAAAGGTGTAATTCACCAAAAACTGAAAATTCTGTCATCATTTACTCATCATCCAAACCTGTTTGAGTTTATTTTGTTAAACACAAAAGAAAATATTTTGAAGAAAGCTGGAAACCTGTAACCATTGACATTCTGAAGTATTTGTTTTTCCTACAATGGAAGTCAATGGTTACAGGTATCAGCTTTCAGCGAAATATCTTCTTTAGAGTTCAACAGAAAAAAAAGAAACTCATAAAGGTGTGGAACCACTTGAGGATGAGTAGATACTGAGAAATTTTTTTTTTACTTTAACTGTTGACTTAAAAAAATATATGTAATGGTGCCTATATGTATACATATTTGTAAATGGAATCTAAAAGACATTTTTGTTTTTATATTTTTGTTTTGAGAGCTGTAATCTGAGCTTAAAAGGAAATTATTACAATTAAAAAATTGTATTTAATTATAGTTTTATAATATCACATTAGCAAAGTTACTGTGGGGCGACATGCTGGCGCAGTGGGTAGAACATTCGCCTCACAGCAAGAAGGTCACTGGTTCGAGCCTTAGCTGGGGCAGTTGGCGTTTCTGTGTGGAGTTTGCATGTTCTTCCCGAGTTCGCGTGGGTTTCCTCCCGGTGTTCCGGTTTCCCCCACAAGTCCAAAAACATGCGGTACAGGTGAATTGGGTAGGCTAAATTGTCCTTAGTGTATAGTATGTGTGTGAATGAGTGTGTATGGATGTTTCCGAGTGATGGGTTGCGGCTGGAAGGGCATCCGCTGTGTAAAATACATGCTGGATAAGTTGGCGGTTCATTTTCCTATGGCGACCCCGGATTAATAAAGGGACTAAGCCAAAAAGAAAAGAATGAATGAAAGTTACTGTGCTCATTAAATGTGAGGTGTTGTTCACACAGGTGTTTTTTTTTTCTCTTTTCAATTAAAAATGCATACGTTTACGGTTACTACCTGCACTCTCAGAAATAAAGGTACAAAAACTGGGGCAGACTCTTTTCAAAAAGTACATTTTTGTATCGTACAGGTGCACAATGGTAGTTTAAAGTTCCTTTAAGGTACAATGAGTTACACATTTGCACTTTTAGGTACTATTTACCTTAAAAGGTACAAATGTGGACCTGAATAGTACCTTTTCAAAAGGTACTGCACCGGTGATATGTTTTGTACCTTTATTTCTGAGAGTGAGGCATTTACACTCACAAATAATCTTGCTGTTTGTTAAACTACTTATGTAAAATGAGCTTAAAAACAAAATTCTGATTATTCTTTTCGAACAACTTTATTGTTTTATGTTCAATCCACTGAGACAGCCTGAATAAATTGTGTGGAACCTTACATTTACATTACACAAACAAACTTTCCTACATACTTTATTCCAATATTGTGACATATTTCCAGCTGACAGAGTGTGAAAAAGAGGGCTGGGTTTTATTTTAGTTCCTCTTCACCGCTTCTCACTCACAGTGCTAATGGTTAAAGAAACAGGAGGTAAAGCTATTCTGCTTAAGCTGTCAAAGATTACCAAGGTAAACATGTTTTTGTTTCTTCTGTAAATTAGCTAACATCGATGTAATTGTTCACCTCGAGAAGAGCAGGTGTAAGCTAACAAGGTCAATTTTGTCAGTTTAGTTGTCTTGTAGATTTTAAACAAATAGCCTTGTTGTTTATATAAGTAATACAATTGAATGTCTTTTATTATTTTTTAAGTATTGTTTTCATTTGACTCTATTTTAGTTTTAATATTTTATTATTTTAATGTAATCTAAAATGCACTTTATTCTTGTGATGGCAATGTTGTGTCGCATGAAATCATTATAATGTGCTGATTTAGTGCTCAAGGAACATTTCTTATATTTAAAGGGGATTAATTTCGTTTTTAGCCAAAAATTTCATTATTTTATTATAAATAGAATATAGAAATAAAATAGAAAAATATTTTTTCATAATAAATGCCTCTCCTTTTCTAGTGTTCAAATTGTTTCAATCAAATCTGACAAATGCCAACCCTTTTAAAATGAAAATGAGAAAAAAGCAAATAAATAAATGTTTTATAATGATAATGTATGTTAGTTTTTGGATATACGACATGATATCAATATACAAAAATATCTCGCTGGTCTTAAAATTTTAAATGATAGACTAGCGTGTGTGTGTACGTGTGTGTGTTACCAAAACAGATATAACCATCATTTTACTTTATTAAAAAATTCCTGAAATTGAATAATATACATAAATCATATAAAATATGAAAATGAGAAAAAAAAGATTTTTACAAATAAACCCTATATATGTTCATTCATTATTCACATCTTTTTTTACTAACGTTACAATAAATCTTTCAAATGCTGTCTTTTGGTGCTGTCAGAGTGGTCTTATTTTCACGGGACTTTTATTATGTATTCATATGAGACTGGCAGCCATTCAGAAAAGACTCCACTCTTCCCTTACAGTACGTATTTACAAAGTAGCGGACTTCCTGGGCGTTAAACGTTATTTGTCAGACAGCACTGTTGCATCTACAACATCACACGCTCGCCAGAGGTACGTGCATGTATATTATAAAACAATACTGTATGTGTTGATGAAACATACAGCTTGATGTAAATGCGGGTTTGTGCTTCGTCGTTTTTCCACTGCTGAGATTGATGGTGATCAGATGCTGAATTACACTTTAGTTGCTTGACGTGTCAAAACTGTTGCAGGGATTATACTGTATGTGTTTTCATTGTCAGTCGACGATAGTAACCCTGCCTGTTTAGGATTAATTGTTTGTAGTAGATTTTTTTGTTAGTGAATTTAAATTCAGCATTTTTTATTTCTCTGTTTCAGTTTTTAATGAGGCTCACTGAAATACACCTTTGAGTCAGGTAAGGGTTTTGAGCTCATGAACGCGCAGTGTTTGTTTAGATGATGAATGTGATGATTTTTATGTTTCATGTGTTTAGAGATGGAGAAACTAGAGACATCAGAGCTTCAGTCTAGACTGTCATCCCTGTCTGTCTCTTCTTTCCCCGGTATAACGTCAAAAAACTGCGAAGCAAACCCTTTAAACAGGTTTGTTAGTTTATTTGAGCTTTGTAATGTTTATTTGTGACTTTAAGTTAAGTAATTTATGTTTATAACTATAGCCAAAATACATTTTATGAGTTAAAACTATACATTTTTATTTTAATGCTAAAAATCATTTGAGTGACAAGGTAAAAATGTTGTCCCATGAAGACATTTGGTAGATTTTGTACCGTAAGTTCAACTTAATTTTCGATTAGCAAAATTAAGTGCAAATAACTTTTTTTTAAATAGTCTAATTTTACAAGTCACCTAGAGTTAAACATGTTTTTAATCCATACAGCTGTTAGATTAGCTTAGCATAAATCATTGAATTAGATTAGACCATTAGCATCTTGAAAAAATGGTATTGTTTTTTTTTTTTTTTTTAGATGTTACAGAAATCGCTACAGCAAGAGCAATGAGATGCATCACTGTTACCTAGTTACCTAGTTTTGGACTATTTTCAGGTGCTGTGTAATATCATTGCACCTGCTACAGCTGTGGTATGGCAGCAAAGTTTATTGATTATTATGTCAGAATGACAGTATAGTTTCTAGTCATATCAGCCTAGAAAATAGCAACTTTTTGTTTTCCATTGGTCATCGTACACAATGTGACTACAGAAGAGTCCAGGTTTAAATGGGTAGATTGTTGAAGCGTTTTGGTCATTTCTGAGCAAGATGCTAATGGTCTTATCCAATTCAATGATTTATGCTATGCTAAGCTCAAAGCACTTCCGTCAGACCTCGGAGATCAGCTGAATAGATTACAACATGGTAAAACTCAAATATTTAACTTCTGTAAAATGATCCTTTGTCCAAAAAAGTGATGTGTTCCTTAAATTCCAATAACTATAACTATATATAACTATATATAACTATATACTTTTTGTAGTACTGGCTTGCAGCTGGAAGGGCATCCACTGCGTAAAGCATATGCTGTATAATTTGGCGGTTCATTCCTCTGTGGCGGCCCCAGATTAATAAAGGGACTAAGCCGAAAAGAAAATGAATGAATGATTGAATATAAAGGTTTTTTTAGTACTAGGTTGCAGCTGGAAGGGTATGCGCCGTGTAAAACATAAGCTGCATAAGTTGGCGGTTCATTCCTCTGTGGCGACCCCAGAATAATAAAAGGACTAAGCCGAAAAGAAAATAAATGAATGAATGAATGAATGAATAAATATAAAGGCTTTTTTAGTACTGGGTTGCAGCTGGAAGGGCATCCGCTGCGTAAACCATATGTTGGATAAGTTGGCGGTTCATTCCACTGTGCCGACCCCAGATTAATAAAGGGACTAAGCCGAAAAGAAAATGAATGAATATAAAGGTTTTTTTTTTTAGTACAGGGTCACAGCTGGAGGGGTATCTGTTGTGTAAATCATTTGTATAAGTTGGCGGTTCATTCCGCTGTGGCGACCCCAGATTAATAAAGAAACTAAGCTGAAAAAGAAAATGAATAAATGAATGTAAAGGGTTTTTTTAGTACAGGGTCGTAGCTGTAAGGGTATCGGCTGTGTAAAACATATGCTGGATAAGTTGGCAGTTCTTTCCGCTGTGGCGACCCCTGATGAATAAAGGGACTAAGCTGCTGAAGGAAAATAAATGAATAAATAAAAATCAGGAAAAATCTAAAAACCCACAGATTTCAGATTTTCAAATAGTTATATGTCAGCTAAAAGTTGTCCTATACTAACCAACCGTACATCAGTGGAAAGCCTATTTATTCAGCTTTTCAGATGTAAAACAGACTATTATGACTTGCTTTGTATGGCACATTAAACATTAAAAGATTCGTAAACCTCATTCTTCCCACTTTCATTTTAAAGACTTCAAAGCACCGACCTTTCCCAGACAGTGATCCCGCCGGACAACCAAACCAAAATGGACGATAACAGCAATAACCAAGAGTTATCACAATCTACAGAGGTAAACAGCGTCTTCACCCCTATACACTGTTTATACACAGATAAAAGTGAGCTTGTGTATGTGTATGAATGTACTGTGCTGTTGTCGCCAGGAGCCCGGCTCTACTCTAGGGAAAGCAGAGGCGGGTGAATCACAGGAGAGCAGCTCTTCACACCCTGCGGAGAAAAAAGGTTTGCAAACCCCCTGTTATAGAGGTGAAGCCAAGCTCAGGAAACATTCTCATCATCTTTCATCATTTACCCCAGAGAACGCTCGCTGTCAGAAAAAAAAGAGAAAGATGTCTGTGCTATTTGTGATGTGCTATTCATAACCTTAAAGATTATTAATTAATTAATTAATTAACCTTAAAGATTATGCCATACAGGCTGTTTTTAACCGTCTTCAGAGTTTTAACTGTGTTTGGGCATTTTTACATCTCACTGTAAGGCAGGTGGTCATGTTGTGTATTTGAGGGTGTATAAAAATAGCATACAGTGTAGAATATGTAGGTCATGTTGTGTAGTACGCAGCTATTATTATTGCTATTATTATTATTATTATCAAGGGAGTGCTTAAACTGATAAAATGTACACATTAAAGTATGTGTAAATTGGTTTGGGTTAAATTGTAATAATAATCATCATTCATTCATTTCCTTTTCAGCTTAGTCCCTTTATTCATCAGTGGTCGCTACAGCGGAATGGATCACTGTTGAAGACCTATTGAACATTTTTTAAATTAAATTAATGATAATAATACTAATAATATTAGTCATTATTTTATTATAGTAATAGATAGTATTACTATTATTAGTAGTAGTATTACTATTAATAATAATACTTTTTAATAATAAATGAAATTAATGATGGCAACACTTTGGCTCAGTTGTTAGCAATGTTGCCTCACAGCAAGAAGGTTGCTGGTTTGAGTCCAGGCTGGGCCAGTTGGCATTTCTGTGTGGAGATTGCATGCTCTCCCCTTGTTGTCCGGTTTCGCCCACAGTCCAAAGACATGCGCTATTAGTGAATTGATTAAAACTAAATTGGCCATAGTGTATGAGTGTGTATGGGTGTTTCTTAGTACTGGATTGCAGCTAGAAGGGCATATGCTATGTAAAACAAATGCGGTTCATATTGCTCTGAAGACCCCTCATAAATAAAGGGACTAAGCCAAAGGAAAATGAATGAAATGAATGATAAAAAAATGAATAATAAAAAAATTATATAAAATAAACAAATACAAAAACAAAACCAAAAAATATTAAATAAAAAGAATAAATAAATGTATTTATATATATATATATATATATATATATATATATATATATATATATATATATATATATATATATATATATATATATATTCTTTTTATTTTATTTGTTTTGTATGTAGGCTTTTGTATTATTAGGTTGTTTATAGGAGCAGTTAGCCAAAAATAATAACATTTGCACTCACCTTTTAAGTAGAACATTAAAGCAAGGTTTTAGCTAAAACAAAAAAAGTCAGATAATAATACTATTAATAATAGCAGTTGTTTATTTATTACAATAGTAGTTATAAATAATAATTGTATTATTATTATTATTATTATTATTATTATTATTATCATCATTATTATTATATTATTATAATAATTGTATTGTCTGAGCCACAATGTAAATGTAGGAGCCATATTTCATAGTTTAGTGTTCTAGGTAATTTTCATAATTTTTTTGTGTTATATAATGTATATATAATATAATTCTTGCGGATTTGCATGTCATATACTTTGAGTTACTTTTGTACTGAGCATGTGTAGTATGCTTCAGATAGTTTGCACGTTTTTTGTGGCACGTGAGTTTTTAGTGTGATGTGCCGGAATTTGTAGAGCACAAGCTTTTGACCGTAAAAGTGAAATATTGGAGTTACAGTTCATCAGGCTGGAACGAACAAGTTGTATGTGAGTAGATTTGGATGGTATTGGCACGTGTGGATATCTGATGTTAGAATAAATGAAGATACACTGAATTGGATGGACTCTCGTGTCATGATCAAGTGTAGGCGCGTCAAGACTTGTGAAATTATCAAAATGGTTACATGTACCCTACAATTATTATTATTATTATATAATAATGATAAGAATTCATAATAAGAATTTCATTATTAATTAACTAAATAAATAATACCCAAATACCAAACCATTTAATGTGTTTATGCAGGTTTTATTTATTATAAAGTTATTTAAAGGAACATTTAACCAAAAAATAACAACACTAACAATAACATTTGCTGTGAATTTACTTCTCTGTAGTACATTTAAAGAAGTTTTTCAGCTAAAACAGTGCTCATAATTTATTCAAAAATACTGACATGACGGCAATGTGGTGGCGCAGTAGGTAGTGCTGTCACCTCACAGTTAAAAGGTCGCTCGTGCGAGCCTCAGCTGGGTCGGATGGCATTTCTGTGTGGAGTTTGCATGTTGCATCCCGTGTTCGCGTGGGTTTCCCCCACAAGGCCAAAAACATGGTACAGGTGAATTGGATAAGCTTAAAATTGTCTGTAATGTATGTGTGTGAAGGAGAGTGTATGAGTGTTTCCTAGTGATGGGTTGCCGCTGGAAGGGCATCCGCTGCGTAAAACTGGATGGAAGTTGGCAGATCATTCCGCTGTGATGACCTCAGATTAATAAAGGGACTAAGCTGAAAAGAAAATGAATGAATGAATGAATGAATACTACTGACATGACTACTGACACTTTGAGAGAAACAAAAAGCATACAGGCTAAACAATATTAATATCCATGACTCATTACGATGCGCTGAAGTATTATTAAGCAAAGCCATTCTTATTCATTTCATCTGTGCTTCACAAATTTTATTTAGGTATTTATTAAGTATCAAGTTAATAAGTAATCAAGCTGATGAAACTGGAATTATGTGGAAAAATAGGCTTGATTGAATGAAATGGTAAATAAAGTCAAAAGAATGTATAATATGTCATTTTTGTTCATATATTTCAGCACAGTTTTAATAAATGTTCTGCTGTTAAAATAAAGATTATTAATCAGTTGATGGTTTCTCTCTTCGCAGCTCTTCCTCCGATGAAGCCTGCATCCACGTGGACCTCAGTGGCTCTGAAGGATCTGAAGACTAAGCTGCGTCAGGAGAAGGACAGTGTGGTGACAGTGTATCGCGGAGACATCATGACCGTCCATGTGCCTACTGTCCCTGAAGCCAAGCGCGTGTGCTGGGAGTTTGCCACAGACGGATATGACATCGGTTTCGGCGTTTACTTCGACTGGTCGCCAGTTACTAGCCGAGCCATTACTGTCCACATTAGTGAATCCAGCGATGACGAGGATGAAGATGATGAGCTAGAAGGTGAGGAAGATATTCTTGTTGTTATTGTTGCTGTTTGTGTCTTTAAAGGTCCCATGCAATTAAAATAAAATTGTTTTGATGTTAGTTTTAGTATTGTTAGTTTTTAGGATATCTACAGTCCGGAAAGTATTCATAGCGCTTCACTTTTTCCACATTTTTTTAAAGTTGCAGCCTTATTCTAAAATGGATTAAATTCATTTATTTATTTAAAATTCTACACACAATAGCCTATAATGACAATATGAAATTGTTGCAAATTTATTAAAAATAAAAGACATTCTGTTTCCACTGATCATTCTTGAGATGTTTCAGGAGCTCAATTTGAGTTCACCTGTGGTAAATTCAGTTGATTGGACATGATTTGAAAAGGCATACACCTGTCTATATAAGGTCCCAGGGTTGACAGTGCATGTCAAAGTACAAACCAAGCATAAAGACAAAGGAATTGTCTGTAGACCCTCTAAAGCAGGGGTGTCAAATTCAATTCCTGGAGGGCCGAAGCCCTGCACAGTTTAGTTCCAACCCTGCTCCAACACACTTACCTGTAGGTTTCAAACAAGCCTGAAGGACTCAATTAGTTTGATCAGGTGTGTTTAATTAGGGTTGGAACTAAACTGTGCAGCGCTGCGGCCCTTTTGGAACTGAGTTTGACACCTGTGCTCTAAAGCCACAAGGCTGGGGAAAGTTACAGAAAGTTTTCTGCTGCTCTGAAAGTTCCAATGAGCACAGTGGCTTCCATCATCGGTAAGTGGAAGATGTTTGGAACCATCAGGACTCTTCCTAGAGCTGGCCGGCCATCTAAGCTGAGTGATCGGGCTTTTGTCAGGGAGGTGATTGATAACCCAGTGGTCACTCTGTCTGAGCTCCAGCGTTCATCTATAGAGAGAGGAGAATCTTACAGAAGGACAACCATCTGTGCAGCAATCCACCAATCTGGTCTGTATGGTTGAGTGGCCAGACGGAAGCAACTCCCCACTTGGAATTTGCCAAAAAGCATCTGAAGGACTCTTAAGCCTGGTTTATACTTCTGCGTCAAGTGACCAGCGTAACCCACGGCGCATGCAACGCTCGTAGTCATGCATTACTTTAATACTTCTGCGCGCGGTCTCCGTTGGTCTGCATTAACACTTCCGAAACGCTAGTTGGCAGTGAGGTATAAATGTTCCTCTGTGTCGAGTTTCTTCGCTGCTGTTTTGCTTTTCCTGAACACCTGGATGTAAAAGTGGCTCAAACTCCCTCATTTTGAGGTAGGAACCGGCGGACGTGCAACAACTTTAACTATGAGGTGAACACAAAACAAAACTTTCCATCCGGAAAGTCCTCCTTCACTTTACTCCACACTTGTAAACAATCGCTCGCGCCATTCGCGCGGCTCTCGGTCCCGCCCAGACTCGTCAGCACTACCAAGCCGACCAATCACAGAGCTTGCGCTACGCGTTGTTGCGACGTGTAGTTACATTTTTTGAAGATGAATGCAGCAATGTACAGACATCCTGAATGAAAACCTGCTTTAAAGTGCTATTGCCCTCAGTCTAGGGTGACGGTTCATCTTCCAGCAGAACAATGACCCAAAAGCACACCGCCAAAATATAAATGGAGTGGCTTCACAACAACTCTGTGAATGTCCTATTTCTATATTTAATATCATATTCAAAAAGACTTTAAAAAGGCTGTAAAAAAGGCTGCAATTGCTGCCAAAGGTACTTCAACTAACTATTGAACAAAGGCTGTAAATACTTATTTACATGTTTTTTTTTCAGGTTTTTAAAAAAATTGCAACAATTTCAAAAACTCTTTTTTTACAATGTCATTATAGGGTTTTTGTGTCTAGAATTTTGAGAAAAAAATTCATTTAATCCGTTTGAAATAAGGCTGTAACATAAAAAATGTGGAAAAACTGAAGCACTGGTAACAATTAAAAAAATTAGCTACTAGGAGATATAAAACTGATATAAACATGTAAAGCTGGCTGTCACTTCCACCTATATAGATCAGCGTTTTATTTTTGTCATCTCATACTTCAGTTTCTCATCAAAAATTGACCAATCAAATGTCCTCTAGTGTCTGACATGTCCCGCCCCCTTCAAGACACTTCTCATTTGATGCGCTTGATTTCAACCACTCTCACTGGCAGAGCAGTTATAAAACAAAAAACTATTGAGTGTTTTTTTTAAGAGGAGGAGCTACACTATGTCTGTCTTTGTGTTTCGTTCAGGTTACGTCAAACATCGAATTAAAAAATGCACATTTCAAAGCACTTCACAGGTCACTACAAAAACTCATTAAGAAGCTCTTTAGGTCATTCTTCAATCCAGATCCAAAGAATGATTAAATAAAAAGTTATTTTGTTTAAAGTATATTTTAGCAGTGTGACCTTGTCAGAACATTTAAGCTCTTTTTATAACAATTTTATTTGTTTTTATTATTATTTTTGAACTAATTGTACATTTATACATTTTATTTTTGTCTTTTTTTTACATAATATTATCTTTTTGAAGAAATTATTTAAATTGAGGAAAAATATGTTCAATTGATTTATTGACTATCAAATTCAAAGCAGAACTGTAGTTTTCAACTAATACTAAACGTATACAAGTAGTTTAATATATATATATATATATATATATATATATATATAGGAGTGGGAGCGAGGCAGTGGCGCAGTAGGTAGTGCTGTCGCGTCACAGCAAGAAGGTCGCTGGTTCGAACCTCGGCTCAGTATCCGTTTCTGTGTGGAGTTTGCATGTTCTCCCTGCCTTCGTGTGGGGTAGGCTAAATTGTCCGTAGCATGTGTGTCAATGAGTGTGTGGATGTTTCCCAGAGATGGGCATCCGCTGTGTAAAAAACTTGCTGGCTAAGTTGGCGGTTCATTCCGCTTTGGCGACCCCGGATTAATAAAGGAACTAAGCTGACAATGACTGAATGAATGAATATAGGAGTGGGGGATCCTAAATGGGCTAAGATTATATAAATTGTAAAACCAAAAAAATTAAGGTAACTCAAACCGATTGAGGAAACCAATTGAAACAAACCATTTAAGTTCAAAAACCAATCCTAATGAGTACTTTGAGTTTAATCTATTTAGGTAAAGGAAGCAATCTGAACACATTAAATGAGGAGAACTTAAACCAACTGAGTACTCCGGTGCTCTGGTTTCCTCTACAGTCCAAAGACATGCGCTATAGGTTATTTGGGTAGGCTAAATTGTCCATAGTGAATGTGTGTGAATGAGAATGTATGGGTGTTTCCCAGTACTGGGTTGCAGCTGGAAGGGCATCCGCTGTGTAAAACATTCAGTATGCTGGATAAGTTGGCGGTTCATTCTGCTGTGGCGACCCCAGATTAATAAAGGGACTAAGCTGAAAAGAAAATTAATGAATTAGTTAATTAAAACTGCTTTTATTCCAGCCAAGCGAAAAGGAGAGAAAATCTCCAGATGAAAAAAATATAATTCATTGCTCTGTTAAACATCACTAAATTTAAAAAAAGAATTTTAATGTGTATACTGTATATAACTTGAATTATATATGTAGATACAAGGTAAAAAATGTAATAATTGTCATGACAAAGATAAGTAATCATAAATGGGGTTGTTTTTGTAAATTAAAAATGAATCGGGTCGCAGCATTGTAATGAACCACCTATTTTCCACCTGATATATGTATTTACACAGCGGATGTCCTTTCAGCCGCAACCCAGCACAGAGAGTGCAATCCATTGTACTGGGAAACTCCTACACACTTTTCCATTTATACACTACAGCCAATTTAGCAAATGTTTTTTCCAATTCACTTATATCGCATGTCTTTGAACTTAGGGGAAAACTAGTACATGCAAACCTTCTTGCTGTAAGGCCACTGTGTCGCCCCTAAAGAAATAACTTTTGTTACTTCATAACATATATTATAAAGTATTCATTTATTCATTTTTCTATGGCTTAGTCTCTTCATTCATCAGGGATTGCCACAATGGAATGAACCGCCAACTTATCCACCATATGTTTTGCACCACGGATGCCTTTCCAGCTGCAACCCAGTACTGGGAAACATCCATACACACTCATTCACTCTGGCCAGTTTAGTTTATACTATACACCTGTACTGCATGTCTTTGGACTGTAGAGGATACCAGAGCACTCAGAGGACATGGGGAGAACATGTTAACTCCACACACAAGTGCCCAAGCTGGAACTCGAACCAGCAACCTTCTTTCAGTGAGGCGACAGTGCTAACCACTGAGCCAGTGTGTCACCCCTATTATAAAGTATATAAAATGTAAACTTTTTTTTACTTCAGCTCGTTGCCAACTAAATATGACTTGTGTTCGTTTAGTTTACAATTTCAAAATGCAACAATTAACATTATAAAACAATAAAATGTAAACTGTACAGACATTTAAAGCTAAACTAAAACATATTATTTTTTCAAACAGGCCCTGTGGTTCCTGGAGATGTAGAGAAGGGTTCCAAATCATCTGCCAACACAAACTTGGGCGAGATCCTGCCTGTGTACCGTCAGGACAGTCATCTAGCGGTGCAGGGCGGCAGTCACGATTTCCCTGGAGAAGGAACTTACCTGCTGAAGTTTGACAACTCGTACTCGCTGTGGAGGAATAAGACTCTGTACTACAGGGTTTACTACAGTGCCTGAGGAAGTTGCTGTTTTTCGTCATATGTATGTATTAAATTACTGTATAATTCTTGCTATTGTTGATTTGTGCTTTTCGTTTAATCTCCAAGCCCTGTCATAGACGAAAAAAATCACATATACAAATATATAAATATATATATATATATATATATATATATAAATGATGCTTTTTTTACGTGAATGAGATCATGAGGCTCATACAGTACGTGGAATGTGTTTTGTGTGGCTTTAAAATGTTTTCTGTACGTGCAAGATGATCTATTTCATATAAAAGGTCCATATATGTTTTATAATCTTATTGTCTGTCACCCCAACGGAGCTGTGGCATCGCATATCAGGGACTACAGAGAAATCAGGGAAAGTATATGGGTGGCAACCGGTCAAACGCTTTTCAGTTCCACACAATTCAAAGCAAACGGGACGGTCAAGGCAGGTGACTTGACAGAAGTTACCGTCTATTCAGGTAATGATGAGTGTGATTTTTGTGCCCGCTTTTTTTATTGTCTTATGTAATATTTACACTGAACAGCGCATGAGTTCTGCTTTTGCCATAAACGCACTGGAAGCCACTGCTAGTTAAAGGGACAGTTCACCTGACAGTTCTAATTTACTCACCCTTAGGAGGTTCCGAATGTGTTTGAGTTTGTTGAGCAAAAAAATATATATTTTGAAGAATGTTGGAAACTGGAAGACATTGAGCTACAGAGAAAGCAAATAAAAACACCACGGACGTGAATAGCTTTTGGTTTCCAACATTCTTCAAATTATCTTAAAGGGTTAGTTCACTCAAACATGAATATTGTGTTATTAATTACTCACCCTCATGTTGTTCCAAACCCCTGAGAGCTTCGTTCATCTTCTGAATACAAGATTAAGATATTTTCGATGAAATCGGAAAGCGCCCTCATCCTCCATATATAGCAACAGTTCCGACTCATTCAAAATTACCAAAAAAACTCCTTCAAATACCAAAAAACATCCTCGAAAGAAATCATGCGTCTTCAGTAGTCCAGTCAGAATATTATCACCCTTCAAGAATACTTTTTTGTGCGCACAAATATTCTAACAAAATGGATTCAACGGTTTATTGTCCTGGACGATGTGGTGGCGCAGTGGGTAGCGCTGTCACCTCACAGCAAGAAGGTCGCTGGTTCGAGCCTCGGCTAGGTCAGTTGGCATTTCTGTGTAAAGCTTGCATGTTCTTCCCATGTTCGCATAAGTTTCCTCCGGGTGCTCCGGTTTCCCCCACAGTCCAAAGACATGTGGTATGGGTGAATCTGGTAAGCTAAAATTGTTCATAGTGTATGTGTGTATTGATGTTTCTCAGTGATGCAGCTGGAAGTACATCCGCTGTGTAAAACATATATTGGATTAGTTGAGGGTTCATTCCACTGTGGCGACTCCTGATTAATAAAGGGACTCAGCCGAAAAGAAAATGAATGAACTGGTTTATTGTCCTCAGTGTCAGTATATTGCGCATGTGTTCTGTGTACTGATGCATACCCCAGATGAACGTGTACGACTTCCTCTGTTTGAAACCAAGCACAGGTGCATCTAAGGTAATACAACAGTAGCGTAACCGAGAGCCGCATGTGAACGTGCACACTATACTGACACTGCGGGAAAAAGACAGTTGAATGACGTCAATATTTTTGTTTTATGTGTGCACAAAACTATTTTGCTGCTTAATAATATTTGTTTGAAATACTGAAGGTGTCTGGTCTGTTCTGAGGATGATTTTTGAAATTATTATAGACTTTAAACGAGTCTGGAACCTTGCTGTGTATGAAGGAGCTCTCAGATTTCATCTAAAATATCTTCATTTTTGTTCCAAAGACAAACAAAGGTGTCGGGAATCTGTAATTAGTAATTTACAACATAATGGATGAATAAATGACAGAATGTTCATTTTTGTGTGAACTATCCTTGACCAGTCTCTAGGAATACTACTTGTGGAAACGGTCGAAGTCTGCTTGTTTACATCCTGAAGCCATTTCCTGCCACAAAAGCTGATTTGTTGCATAACCGATCCAATATCTCCCGTCCCAGGCTCTCATTTGGCACTATTAAGGGCTGTTTGGCATCAGTTTGGTCTCTGAGGTCTGAATAGACGAGATGCAGATGCCCTGTCGAAAACGTTTTTATTTACTTCGATGCCTCTTTTACCAAGGTGACTTGCAAATACTACTTAGGTTTACATGTTTGTTCATTGGAAGGATTTCCTCGCTTCTATCATGTGCAATATGACAGACACTAAGTGCTGCCAGCAGGTATAGGATTTAGTTTTCTTTAAAATATCGATTTACCAAACGACGCTGCAATTTCTTTGTGTACCTTCAATTGTTAGCATGTCTTAAGACTGTTGCATCGTGCTGCTGAGGTACTTTATTCTGCCAACGTGCTTTTCTGCTCGTCCTTCTGCGTTTCTTTACTTGTATGATATAAATAAGATGTGTTTGTCATTTTTGTCTTTAGTTTTTTGTTTGTTTGTTGTTCACAATAAACGATGATTAATTCAGTGTTTGCAGTTTCTTTCTTTAAAGTATGTATTTTTTTATCATGTTAAAAAATACTACACTGTTCTCCCTTTAGTTGGTATCCATAAAAAGTGCTTTCTCACCATTACAAAATCTTGTCAAAGACGCTCAATTGCACCATTTCCTATTTCTGTTTAACTAAATTTTATAGATTGATGACAGAAAAAGAGGTACCAGTGCTTCTCGTGGTTGATAGAGGGCGCTATTAGTCTGAAATAAAGACATCCTTCATTAAAATCATTGGAGTTTTTTTTTATTTAAAAAAGTTAACAGTACAGTTAAAGTCAGAATTATTAGCCCCCCTGTGAATTTTATTCAATTATTTTTTTTATATTTCCCAAATGATGTTTAACAGATTAAGGAAATTTCCACAGTTGTCTGATAATATATTTTTTAAAAGTAATTTATTTTATTTTGGCTAAATAAAAAAATAATAAAAGTTTTTAGTTAAAAAAAAGAAATAAATAACATTTTAAGAACAAAATAATTAACCCCTTTAAGGTAACCCCCCCCCCACCACCACCACCACTACTTAAATAGTCTACTGCCTATTTAACCTACTTAACCTAGTTAAGCCTTTAAATGTCTTTAAGCTGTATAGAAATGCCTTGAAAAATATCTAGTCAAATATTATTTACTGTCATCATGGCAAAGATAAAATAAATCAGTTATTAGAAATCAGTCATTAAAACTATAATGTTTAGAAAAGTGGTGAAAAAGTCCTCTCTCCATTAAACAGACATTGGAGCAAAAATAAACGGTAGGGCAGAAGATTGCTGTAGATTGCAGAAACTTAAAAGATTAGAAAAAATACATATTTGGTGTTACAATCTGCATAATACATTTTAAAGAGAGAGAGAGAGAGAGAGAGAAACGAGCAATTCCATGCAAATGTCAACCTTGCCATGAAAAAAATTAAGTTTTCACCAAAATACGGAAACCGTTTTGGGTTTTTTGTGTAAGCAAGTATTTTACAGGACTTTACAAATACCCAAAATTGCATCTGTCAGTGTTTTAAAACCATTATATTTTATTTCACACAAGTGTCAATTTTACATCTGTCACATAATGGCACTTTTTCCTTATAAATGTGAAAATATTTTTTACCCATTTTTGTTTTGAAGTGAGCCAACGCTTCTCTTTTTGATCATCATTGTTTCTTTTGGGTTGTGCAGTTTAATTCGCAGAATTTCTACAAAGCATGTTGTATACTGTAAACCCGCAGACTTTTTTGTCACATCCATAACATATGTTTCTTTCCCTCATTCCTTCATTTCCTTCATTCTGTTCCCCTAACTCTTTGGTTAGTTGTTCTGGAAAATATAAACAAAAGTTTCGATATAATTTTACCATATGCTTTCTATGCGATTTTATGTTTTGAGTTTTTTACAGCAAATGTCACATACGTAATTTCTCATATAAATTCAAATAAAAAAATAAATAAATTAAAAAAACTGAGGGTCATTACATAAGATTATACATTAAAAGTCATTTTTGACGTTTTGAAAAAAAATGAATTGACGTATTTTCCAAAATGTAAACTTATGAATAAAAAAACTTATAAAAAGATGAACAATGAGCTGAATGCAGGATTTAGAGTTGTAATGAAATCATTGGAGTTTGTGCAAGAAACAATTAAAAATAATAATTTAGGATAATCTTTTGTACTTTACAGGTCAATGAATTTATTTATTTATTTGTTTGTTTGTTGATTTTTTTTATTTAATAAGAAAAAAAGGTAATTGCAAAACGTAATGAACTGTGTTTCTGTTTGTTCCAAAGTAAAATCAATAAATAAAACTAAATAACAGTTACAGTTAAAGTGATAGATTTACTAAAACAAGCATTATGTAAGTAAATATATTATAATGATAAGGAATTGAATAGCCTAAAATAAACTGAATTATAAAATAATGGAATAAATATATGTACACATATTTTTTCTGTCATTTTGGTAGCTTTTGTTGTTTGCTGTTTTAGTAGTTTCAATTTAATACTTTAATGTAAAATTAGTTATATAAAAAATGACTGCTTTTATGCTCATTTGTAGGTCGCTAAGGATAAAAGTGTGTGTGTGTGGGGGGGGGGGGTGAGAGAATTATAAATCTTATATCTTATAATGAAGATAAATATAGAAATATATGCAGTAAAACAGATGTATAGCAAAAATAATGGTATGTCTTTAGTTTTTTTTTATTTGTTTTGGAGGGGGTTAATACCACATATTGCAGAATATTAATTAGTGTATTGTATTAATATTTTTGGAAACAAATTAATTAACCCGTTTTAACAAATAACTTATTTTAGTATTACTTTTAGCGGAAAATACACTGGGCCCCTTTGGTATAAATATTTAGCCTATTTAACCCATTCCCACAAAATATGCCCACATTTTTAATTATTTATTTACATCTTTTAATTGATTATTTGCTTGTTCATAATACTGAAAGGGACGCTTTATAAACAATCTTTTTTTTTTTTTTTTTTTTTTTATCTGAGAGTTAATTGGTCATCGCTTGGCACATGAGGTGATAAATGTTAGCGCGTTCACGCGGGACTTCGAAAAGATCAGTCTTTTGCCCACGCGCACGCACAGACAGCACAACACTGGACAGAGGGAGTTCGCTGGTCAATCCTGAATCAACATGGGCAAAGTGCACTTTTATGCCATCTGGTCCTTAAAAGAAGCACCTCGCCAGTTCATTCGGTGCGCACTTTTGTACTTGAACTTTACTATATCACCTAATTAATGTATCCCTTCTATCAGCTTTCAGCTAACCAAATATATTGAGGGTTGTTACACTTTTACTGCAGTGAGTATTACCAAATCTACTGAATTCATAAAAGTTGAATGTGTCCATCATGATTGCTAAAATCTTTTCTGTGGAAGAAGTGGAAATGAAAACAAGTAACAAAGAAGTAAACCAGGAAGGAAGTAACAGCAAATTCAACGCAAAAGTCAGCAAACAAACGTCAATTAAGTCGCTATTTTGAATTGATAAATACTGATACAATCATACAAACAAAATATAAATCACGAACTTTAAGAAATTCTCTTTGCGTCTATTTAAATTTGAACCCTTTAGTCAAATTTTGCCCAAGATGGTCCATTTTAAAATTCACTCTAAGCCAAATGTCAAATCCCCTCACTTTTACCTCACAAAATAGTTTAAGTGAATTTCCATGACCTGAACAGCCAGATAATATTTAAAATCTACCCATTTGAAGCTTTATTATTTTTCTTGTCCACAGATGTTTTCAGTACAAAACTAAGATCAACTGTTGGTTAGCACAAGTAATGATTCAAATGGAAAAAAGGAGCCTATATTTTATTATGTTTTGTCACATCGCATCTGTTTGGGGTACAGTGCTAAACCCCAAAAACTGAACAGGAAATTATTGAATTTAATTTCACGGGTCAGTCTTTTCAATTTGCCTGCACCCTTGCCACAACATTAATTAAAACATGATAATTAATCTTATCCTCTGAAAAGCTTAGGCTACCATTTTTACAGTTCTGCCAGCAACACCTTATGCTACCTAGGCTACGTTTTTAACAAAAACAATCTTCATTTACAACTAGCTAGCTAACATTGTCGCTAATGCTCTTTTTGACCTTTGTGACCATTGGGACTTCGTTAACAAACAGGTGACTGCATTTGACATCTTGTGGGAAAATTAATAAAATAGCACTGAAAAAAATAAGAGCCTAGCCATAACAGTGGGCAAGACAGATGAAACAACATATTAACACACACGTTTAAAGTTTTAAAAAGTTATATTTTGATAAATAAGAAGTAAGATTTATAATAACAATTCATGCATGACTTGGGCAAAAATCTATAAAATGAATAGACTTTCAGTGTCTGGAGTAGACTAGACATTTTAAAATTTCACGATATTCCAGAAAATTCCCTGACTCCTGATAAATGTTTGTGAAAGTAAGAAATGATGATGTTTGTTTAGAGCCTTTCCATATTTACAACATTGTAAATGTGAATTTAGACACCTACTGTAAACACTGATATAGTAAATACGCATTTACTCAGTTAAATAGTTTTCAGTAGTCTTAAATTTACTGACAGTTTCCTTTGTCTGAGCAGCTTTTGTTTTGTTCTCTTTAATAATCCCTGTGTAGAAATGTCAGCCGTACGATGTACCAGGTTCAGATGCCGTTGCCTTTGCCGAAGCAGCTGATAGTGTTTGGTTTAGGAGAATGGTCGTCCTCCTTCTCCAGCGATTCTGAGATCTCTGTGGAGGTTCTGCTGGGGCCGGACATAAAATCACAGGTCATTGGGACACTTTCACCGCACTCCAGGCAAGTTCAGACTTTATTATGATCGTGGAGCTCCCCGCAAGGAAATCTTTTTAATTTGGCATTTAAATTTTGAAATAAAATGTTTGATTAATTTAGATTTGTTTATTACATTTAAAAAAATGATTTCTTAAATTGTTTTGGTTGATAATAAGACACAAAATACATGATTAGAGACAATATATTCATAATTAGGTGTTATTAAATGTCTAAATTGAAATGCAAAACTTTTGTACAACGTTAGAAAATCTATTTTATTTTACTACTACTTCTATTACTACTAAATAATAATAAATAAATAAATCAATGAACAAATGAGAAACCCTGTAGGAAACCTGAAATAAAACTAAAATAAATATAAATGTTAGATGAAAAAGCTGCCTGCCTTCACATGCATCAGATATAAATTAAAAACAATTATTTACTAAAACAGAAAAGTAAATAAATGTTTTATGAATATTTTTATGATGGAAAAAATAAATAAATAAAAGTAATCTTAAAAAGAAACCACAAATGCTTTCTTTTTAATCATCTATTCATCTCTAGATTGCTGTTCTTTTGTTTTATCGAATGAGCTCATTTGCTTCTCTCATACAAGATGCTTCTTTAGTGCAACATAAGTAAATATATAAACTGTAAAAGTGTCATCTTAAAAGGATAGTGAAAAGT